AAACTAAAATGTCGATGACCCTTCGCGATGATTTCCACAACGATCGGCGCAATTTCACGGTGGGCAGGAGCTAAGTTTTGGCCACGACGACAAGATGAAGATTCTGACTATATCAACGATGATGATCACATACCGACAACGAGCGATCGACTGTGGAAGAAATAATTTTTGTTTTTTTAATTATAATATTAAATTGTTGAATTATGTTTCGATATAACAAATTTAAGGCAAAATGTTTTTGGACTTTAATTGAATTTATTCAAACTTTTTAAAAGGTTTCAAAAATAATTCAAAGTTCATTAAATTCGGATTTGAGCCAAAATGCTAAAGAGTGTCAAAGTGCATCCATGTACCCCTACAGTGCATCCATGCATCCCTGCAGTGCATCCATGCACCTACACTAGTGCATCGATGCACCATGCAGTGCATCCATGCACTCCATTTCGAATGCACTTAGTGCATCGATGCATCCTTCTGTGCATCGATGCATCCTGCTGTGCATCGATGCATCCTGCTGTGCATCCATGCACGAAGGCTGCAACGACTAGTTTATTTGAATTTAATGAAGGGGTATCGATGCACCATGATAGTGCACTGATGCACCATATTATGGGCAGCCTTTTTGAGTAGAAAAATCATCCCCAAACGGCTCCAAAACATCCCCAATGGTTATATACAACATCAAACACATTCCAAGCTATAAATACAAGCTAAGGACACTTGAAGAATAATGATAACAACTATCCAAGCAATCAAACACAAGAGAAGAGTTTTTTATTCTTATTTCATCTTTCTCTTGTAAATATTTTGTTCTTGCACCTACCTTTGAGAGGTTTATTTGTTTACTTCTTTTATCGTTTTGTAAAGGGGAAAGGTTCTAGATAATCCCATGTAAAAGCTAGGGAAAGGTTCTAGTTTAACCCAAAAAAACTAGGGAGTTTGTAAGGTTACTCTTTGTCCTTAAAAGAAAGAACAAATTAGTGAATTTGTTGGAAAATCCTTGGTGAGGAGCTAAGGCAGTGGACGTAGACTTTGATTGAGAAAGTCGAACCACTATAAATCGCTGTGCAATTCTCTATCTTTCAATCTCCTTACTCTTTAAACTCAAAACCGTTCCGACCCCTCTTTGCAAATCGTTCCGGTTGTCGATTCGAGCTTCCGAAAATCCCAACAATTGGCATTAGAGCCTAACTCATTAAGAAGGTTTAACCACTTTGAGACGATCCTTGAAGAAGCTCTACCAATTTCCGATGCAACCGAAAAAGAAATGACTTTTTCCTTCGGTGCTTATTATCTTGAAGAATATCCTATTATGGATTCACAACCGGTCAACAAGCCACCCTTCTTTAATGGCGCAAATTATGCACATTAAAAGAATAAGATGATGTACTTTATTCAATCCTACAATCTAGGAGCTTGGAACTCAATCATGGACGGTTACTCTTCTCCACCAGGCAAGTACAACAATTGGAATAGAGAAGAGCAGAAAAATTTCCAGCTTAACTCTAAGGCTATACATATGCTATTATGTGCTTTAGGCCCAAATGAATATGGAAGAATCTCATCTTGTTCCAGTGCCAAAGATATTTAAGATAAGTTCCAAGTCACTCATGAAGGAACCGACGAAGTGAGGGAATCAAAGAAAAGTCTTCTCAACCATAGCTACGAGAACTTCAAGATGAAACCCGATGAAGACATCAAAGCTATGACGGATAGATTTTCTGTGATTGTCAACAGTCTCAAGGGATATAGAGAAGTAATCCCTAATGAGAAGCTTGTGAGGAAGATGATCTACTCTCTTCCAAAGGAGTGGCAATCGAAGAAGACGACCATTATCGAAGCAAGAAACTTAAAGTCTCTCACTCTCGACGAGCTAATTAGTTCTCTTCTCACTCATGAGATGATGGTGAAGGAAGATGAAGAAAGGGAAGAGAAGAAAAACAAGAAGAAGAAGGAGGTAGGCATTGACTTCAAATCCACCAATGAAAGCTATCAAGATTCAAATGATGAGGTGGATGAAGACGATGATGAACAAGAAGAAGAGATGGTCAAGCTCTTGAAGGAACTCAACAGATTCATGATTTCCAAGGAAGTGAAACATGAATCAACCAAGAAGATGAGTCCCCCGATATGTTTCAATTGTCAAAGAAAGGGTCATGTCAAGTATGAATGTCCTCTTCTAAAGAAAAAGGGGAAGAAGGCATTCATCTTGGAGTGATGAAGATGATTCCAATGATGAAGATGAAGTAGTCAACCTATGCCTTATAACCGCTCAAAGAGAATTTGAGGTATCTTTTAACTCAAATGAATTTAATTCATTTACTTTTGATGAGTTACAAGATGCTTATAATAGGTTGTATTTGGGATTTGAGACCATGAATTCCAAATATACGAAATTAATTTCAAAACTCAAAATTAAAGATAATTTGATTTTGAAAGCAAAAGTTGATTTTGAAAATCAAAATGAAATTTTGAAAAATAATTTAGAGCTTTCAAAAATCAAAATAAATGATTTAGAAAAAGAAAATTTTGGGTTAGGAGTTAAGCTTGAAGGCTTAACAAAAGAAAAAGAATTAATTTCTAAAAATAACTTATTATGTTTAAAAATAGCAAAATGCTCACATTGTCATTTTTATTGTCATTTGGAACATACTTGTCCTTTAAAGAAAGGAAAACATTTTAAAATTAGACAAGTATGGGTTCCTAAGGGAACAAGGGGCATTGAAACTAATGTTCAAGGATCCAAAGCAATTTGGATACCAAAAGCTACTTAAATGTCTCTTGTAAGTGTGTGGGAGCAATGGTGATGAAAGTGATGATATTCAAGATGCTCTAGCCACACGCGAAAAAGGAATGGGTAACCTCTAAGCTTAATGCTTTTAATTTTGGTTATTTGGTTGCTCATTTATTTTTAAGCATGCATGAGTTTTGGATTTAAATGATTATGTATTGTAATCTCATGTATGTTGAAAAGATGATTATGATGAACATTTTAAAGTTAAATTAATTTTTAAGAATTTTTAGTTCATCATAATAAAATTTTGGTCAAAATTGATTTTAATGCAAATGATATCTCTCTAACAATTGATATCAAATTTTCAAATACTTTGATTTTACAAATTTTAAATTTTTGACCTAAATTTGAATGTTTATGCATGTGGTTTAAATGAAAATGATATCTCTCTAACAATTGGTATCAAAATTTTCAAAATGCATAACATTTTTGGAAAACTTTATGCATATGCACTTAATTTTAACAAATGGTATTGATATCAAATTTCAACAATTGGTATTGCATAAAGTATTTTAGTCTTGGATATATTGAATTTCATGTGCTACTAACACATTTGCTATTCTTTGTAGAAATTCAATTTCTTTTTAAATGTCAAGTTCTTAAAGCTAAATTTTGATTGAAATGCATTTATTGAGGGGGAGCTTTGATTTTTCAAATAAGTTTTAAAATGTCAAATTTACTACTTACTCTCCAAAGTTATTTTGAACTTCAAAGATTGAATTATTTTTGATATAACAGAAAGGGGGAGAAGTTTTGGTTTGAAAAATTCAATTTCTTAATGAAAAATGAGCAACTTTTTCATATATTTTCAAACAATTGGTATTTGTTACCAATTGGTATCTTTTTTCATTAAACATTTTATTAAGGGGGAGTTTTGCCAAAAACAATTTTTTCAAATGTTTTGTTATATCAAAAAGGGGGAGATTGTTGAATTATGTTTCGATATAACAAATTTAAGGCAAAATATTTTTGGACTTGAATTGAATTTATTCAAAGTTTTTAAAAGGTTTCAAAAATAATTCAAAGTCCATTAAATTCAGATTTGAGCCAAAATGCTAAAGGGTGTCAAAGTGCATCCATGAACCCCTGCAGTGCATCCATCCATCCCTGCAGTGCATCCCTGCACCTGCACTAGTGCATCCATGCACTATGCAGTGCATCCATGCACTCCATTTCGAATGCACTTAGTGCATCGATGCATCCTGCTGTGCATCCATGCACGAAGGCTGCAGCGGCTAGTAACGACTAGTTTATTTGAATTTAATGAAGGGGTATCGATGCACCATGATAGTGCACCGATGCACCAAGTTTTGGGCAGCCTTTTCGAGTAGAAAAATCATCCCCAAACGGCTCTAAAACATCCCCAACGGCTATATACAACAACAAACACATTCCAAGCTATAAATACAAGCTAAGGACACTTGAAGAATAATGAGAACAACTATCCAAACAATCAAACACAAGAGAATAATTTTTTATTCTTATTTCATCTTTCTCTTGTAAATATTTTGTTCTTGTGAGCTCAATCTTGTAAACACCTACCTTTGAGAGGTTTATTTGTTTACTTCTTTTATCCTTTTGTAAAGGGGAAAGGTTCTAACTAATCCTGTATAAAAGCTAGGGAAATGTTCTAGTTTAACCCGAAAAACTAGGGAGTTTGTAAGGTTACTCTTTGTCCTCAAAAGAAAGAACAAATTAGTGAATTTATTGGAAAATCCTTGGTGAGGAGCTAAGGTAGTGGACATAGACTTTGGTTGAGAAAGTCGAACCACTATAAATCGTTGTGCAATTCTCTATCTTTCAATCTCCTTACTCCCTAAACTCAAAACCGTTCCGACCCCTCTTTGCAAACCGTTCCGGTTGTCGATTCGAGCTTCCGAAAATCCCAACATAAATGTTTTAAATATAATTTTTTTTAAATTTTATGTGCATGACACATGTCGAATAAAGGCCAAATTTAACGACGATTACAGTTCAAACAACTAAAAGTGTAACTTTGAAAATGTTAGACACTATTTTTAACAAAAAATTCTTCATGCACCAAAAGTCAATTTAGACTAGTCATTTATTTTTTTATTATGCAAATAAAAAATATATAAAAAATACAATACTGTAAAATTAAAGTATGAAGATTAATTAAATTTTAAATTTCAAAATAGTAGTAGGACCTTTGGCATATTTAAACCTTTCACGCACAGATTGTAAGAGAAAGTAATACATCATTAATCCTCGAGACCTTGACAGAAAAGACTACGCTACCCAATACCCATACAGATAGATGTTTTAGAATGCTCTACTTTAAGTTCAGCTTGCGGCTTAAGGTACCTCCAGTCTCTGAAAAAAAATGCCTATGAAAGCCTAAAATTGGTTACACACGCAAGCACCAGCACCAAATACGACAGCTGAAAACCAGAAAAGACTTGGCTTTACTTTGATTCCGTCGTAAACGCCCCACGCCGAAGTAATGTTACCTCTCCTTCTGCAGTAACGTCTTCAATGCCTGAGTATAAGCAAATCACAATCAACCAAAAATAAGTAAAAATGAAGAACTTGTACTTTCATAATTGGTGCATGGACTACATTTCCTGTGGAGTCATCATATCAAAACCTGAAAGAATTGGGTGTTTGATAAGCCACCTTATGAGCATTACCAACGTCTAACTACATCAGAAAGGTGGAACATTTGACATCATTTGACTAGAAAGTGTGTAATTATTGATTGTCGACTCGTGTCCAATAGTGCATAATCACGTTCAACCTCTCATGCATCCATTCAAGAATTTGTTTATTGCAGATGTTGATATTAAAAAAAAAAAAACTCCGGAATGTGAGTTTAGCAGATCGAAATTTTAAATAGTTGAGAAAGACTCAGGAATAATGACCTAAACCCATGCTTACACAGAAAAACTCATGCAACACATTCAAGAACAAATATCTACAAAGGTGTTGAAGGGGGATAGAGTGTAATACCTTAGAAGCGGTAACCCATTTCCCGTTAATCCAGTCCTGATGTATCCTTAACTCGGAATACTTAAACTTCATTTCCTCCTGGGTAGCTTTGAAATAGACTTCATAATTTGTCTCAGAAAGAGAATTAAGAACCTTAGAAATCACACCCACCCACCAGCCATCAAGGTAGAAAGCATCGACTTCATCAAGCTTTTGGAACGAATCAGCCATAAAAATTTCAGGCGGACAAGGCCTAATGTGCAGGGCATCAAACTTCTCTTTTAAGAAATCAGTGTCATCGTCAGTTCTCAAGCAATCGTACTGAAATAGGTATCTGTCCTTCCCCAATGCTTTAACAATAGTTCCAGTAAACCAAGCACCTTCAAAACCATCTTCGTCGCTGGTCACTTCAACTCGTTCCCCCTCGCGATACTTTGTTATCTCGTTAGACTCGAATTTCCCTCCACTCGCAGCTAAATCAGACTTTAACTTCTTTTTGCTTGCTGAATTATCATCCTTCTTTTTGATTGCTGTATTATCACACTCTAGCTTCCCTCGGGCAACGACTTGGTTATAATCCATCTTTCCTTCAGTCACTACTTCGTCGGACTAGAAAAGTTTTACATTTATTTGTTGTCAATTACGCCTCCATCAATTTAATCACAAAGTAGAAACAATCTAGAACAGCTAAGATAGGAAATTACAAACAATGTAGAGAAACAAATTCATATATTGATTTCCAAGTTCACACATTCAATGAGAAAAAAATATTTCATCAAGAAAACCAAATAACTTGCACCTAATTCTAATAGCATATCGACTAAAGTTTATATCCGGCACATACTAGGTAACAATAAGCAAATCATAAATCCCAACTTTTAAGCATTTCTTTTCATATCTCTGTACTTCCGATTCCAACAATCAAACAGATTAAAAAAACCTAAAGAAATAAGAATTTACCTCTTTCACATGCTTATCTTCCTCCAGGGGTGGAGTCCAAGCCCCTTTAATCCACTCTCTATGAAGCCTCAACTGGTCCTCGCCAAACTCCAGCTGCTCTTTAGACCTCTTGAAGTAAACATGAAACCTCCCATTCTCCAACTCCTTAGTAATCACCCCTTCCCACCACCCATCGTTATGAAAGGCATCAACCTCTTCACTAAACTTGAACTTCCTGACCTTTTCTCGAGGGGCAGGAGGGCGTAAATCCACGGCGTCGGCGGTCTCCCTCAAGGGTTTAGTACCCGCCTCGTCCTCGAAAAGATGGGTGTACTCGACTACGAATTTGTTGTTGGGTTTCTTAGAAGGAGCACGCTTGATGAGTACGCCGGTGTACCATGAACCTAGGAACCCAGGGTCGTTGGAACTTATCTCAATTTGGGAGCCCGGTTGCAGGTGCGGAGGATCGTCGGTGGTCGGGGCTCTGGTGGGCTTCCGTTTCGACATTTCCCTTATTTTATGGGATCGAGGGGAAGGATGGATTGGATCTTTTGGCAGGGAATATGAAGTGTGATTCTTCTGGTGATGTAAACACCCAATCGACATATAAAGTAGCTTTCCTTCTTTCAACTGTTACAATTGTCTCTGTGTGTGACTGCTTAAAATGAATAGTAAAATGGCAAAACCACTCCAACATTGAGGTGGATAAAAATTCCCTAGGATGATTGAATTTTATTTATTTTTTAAATAGGGTATTTATTATAGTAGATCTAAAAGATGTATCTTCTTGGAAGATGTGACATCTTCATAATTTCTGTGTATGTTTTTCCGACGCCAAAATAACGATGCCGTAGATGAAGCTTTGGAAAATGAAAATGAAAACGCAAACGGGAGACCTAATTCGGGCAGACATCACACTGTAACATTAATTCTATATGAAAAAATAATTATTTTTATTTTCTCATTGTATTATCCCAAAAAGCTTGTCGTAGTAAAATATTAAAATGGTAATTAAATATATTGAAATATTTTTTAAAAGATAATTGTTAAATTTATAGAATTATTATAAATAATCATCGTGAGTTGTAAAATATTATTAATAGGTGTAATTAATTAATATTATAAGTTACTTTCGTTAAAATGATGATGTAAGTTTTTATTATTACTAGATCATACAATTAAGAGTACATAGAAATACAATTAATACTTTAATGATAATAATTAATTGAATATAAATAGACCAAATTATTTGGCACCTGGAAATTCAACATAGTGGAGGGAAGCAAAAGTGATAAATAAATTTTTTAACAATATGAAAGTCGCGTGTTATCTGAATTTGATCGGAGAAACAAGGTATGTAATATGGTACACTTGTTTTTAACAGAAACTTGTATGCTGAACTTTTCTCAATGATTTGAGTATTGGTTATCACACTAAATATCATACTCCACCCTGAACTCCTGACTGTACAGTAACAAGGCTCTCCACCTTCCTGTTGAATTACACAAGTATCTGAGATTTAGCAGCACCGCGAGAACATCTTACCCGGCCGCTTTTGCTAAGTGCACAGACGCAGATCTCGAGAAGATCCAAGTCTTCCTCCCAGAATAACAAGGAAGCCATCTCTGGGTTCTTCACCATCATTTTAGAGGTCAGGAAACCGGCAATAGTCCATGTCTGGTAGAGTCGAGATTGCTTTCCGATGAACTTCCCACTCCGGGTGTCGTAGTATTCAGGCCAATGGTCTCTTGAAAGCCTCTTCTCTGCCAAAGCAATCGCCTTTTGGGCTAGCTCTAATCTGCCCATCTTGACGCAGGCCAAAGTGAACTGCAAGTGTAATATAACCACTTCTAAAAAATGTATTCAAACAAGCCTCACAGAACAAAGTCAGTTAATTAGAACACAACAGATGCCCTTCTCGATAAAGGGTATTCTGAACTACAAGAAAATTCAACTTCACCTGCCAGAGAAGTGTTGGCCAAGATCCACCATTATGATATGACCAAGGGCTGCACAAGTTCATTAAGCACACTAGTGTCAGTAGATAATATTTAGAAAGATATATGTGTGTGTGTATAAGGTTACTTGGGGAAGAGTTTTCATGATAAAAGGTTACTGAGGGAAGAGTTTTCATGATAAAAGGAAAGGCACTCACGTATTCTTTGGATCGCATCCGGTAATTATGCGCCACTCTTCATTCTCTACTGCAGGATAGCATATCTTGAGAGGCATGTGCCCCACAATGTCATTCCATTTGTATTCAATTAAGTTCAGAATAGCTTCATTCTGTCTCGGAGTGCCGAGTGATGAAACAATGGACCAGAGATTCCCAAGTGTGAAGAACCTAAAATCCATGTGAGCTGGCTGTAGGTTGCCGATTAGATATCCACCTTTTTCGGGTATCCAATCCATAAGCCAGGAAGGAATTTGCTCAGGGTAAATATTGAATTTGTTGGTAGCATCCATGGAGTACTCTTCTGTTTTGTAACGGTATATCTCATTGATCTTTTTCATGTCAACCCAATAGTATTCTCTGATGTGGAATGATAGTGCATTCAGTCTATTGTTTATAGCCCTCACCAGATTATTGGAACCTTCGCTTGTGAGAATCTCACGAGAAGAACGTAGAGCGGCATAAAACAGAGCCTGTAGATCAAGTATATGACAATTAGGACAATATTTTCAACATAGAAAGGGCAAATGGAAGTATGTTAAAAACGAGGCAGGGTCCAATACCATGTGCAAGAAATAACAATTATGGTCAAAAAATTCATATAATTTGGAGACCAAGTTAAATCCAATATTAACAAGAGCAACGTAAAACAACTTTCTTTTTTCTGTTTTTTGACGGGAAACTTGAAGGCTTTCTAACAATGAACTCACTTGGATCTCAAGGGGATGACCATGAATACCCATCCTTCTGTCTATCATGCATGATCCATCAGTGACTAACAGGGAAGGAAACATATCAAATCCATCAGCTAAACACAAGTTGAGGATCAGTTTCATTCCTGTTTGGACATCCACTCTCTCTTGCAATGAATAATCACCAGTGATCTTCCCATATGCCCTCAACAAAATAATCCACCACAATCCTACCAAAAAGTCAATTCAATCAACTCACTTTATCAATTCTCTCTCGGAGCAGGAACTTTGGAAAAGGAAGGGGGGAGAATCACATTATAAGTAAAAAAGCATTATGACTACTAAAGCTGAATAGTTCAACATCCTCATCTTAACTAGCAAATCGTCATAGTAATTGGTCTACAAAGTTCCACAATACTAACCAGAGTCCACCGGTGCAACACGACCAATAGCTGCTTCTCCAAAATCTGGATCTAGTACTTCCTCAAACTTATTGTCATCAATTGGTACACTTCTAACCTTAAAACTTGCTGGCATCAACCCCTGTCCAGGACTATAGCAATCGACAGTTTTCTCCCAACTCTAGACCAAATGAAAAAAAAAATAGTTGTTAAAGTTTGCAGACTGACAAGGAAATGTTTAACCTACATAGTAAATAACACCCATATCCGCCTCTAGATCGAATGTTGATGTGCTTGAAACTACCAGCATAAAGAAAAGAGGCTTACAATCGATTACATTAAGCAATAAACGCACTAAGTTTTATAATGATTAAAAGCAACCTGAAAGCTCAACATAACAACTTTATGGTAAACATCCTAAGATGAATTATTCCTAGAATTTGGTCTCCTTTAATATGTAAGTTTGCAATGTTTGCAATGTTAGAAAGCAAGCAGCCCCCAAGCAATAAAGATAATCAAAGACCAAAATAGGATAACATTGATGATAACGGTAATTAGGCAATCTGAATCTTAAATAATAAACAAATGGATAGGAACAATCAACTTTACAATAAATGATTAGTCAAACCAAAAAGGAAATAATGGTGCTACAAAGTTATCCAATAAGGTATATGTAAGTGAATCATGTATACCTGCAACTGCAAGGTATGTAGGAGAAAATTCTTGACAATCTCTCCTTCGCCTTTAAGCAAGAAGGCCAAAGCCGAAGGCACGAAATCACGAATGAACACCTGATCGTAATTCAAAGGCATCTTATCACATGGATCATTTGCAGCCACTGTACCAATAGGGTATCCACAATACTTAACGACTGCATCTCTCAACAAATTCCACCCCTCCTTCTCGATATCGCTATCGATTGAAACTCCACCTTTTCCCTCCTCCAGACCTTTCACAGTGTTCTTCACTTTGTTTCTGTCTTCATCTAGTGGAGTTTCTTCTCCTGCAAGGTTCTTGGGTTTCACAGAAATGCTGTTCTGTATGTGAATTCTCTCGAAAGTACTGTCGTTTCTGTTGGTTTCAACCGACGTTGAGAGATATCTTACGTTTGATGCTACCGTGTCATCCACAAATAAACCGTAAGGCATTGAAATCGCCCTGTGTTGGGCAAAAACGGAACTTGGGACGCAATTCGACTTCTGGGCATTTTTGATAGGGCGTTGAAATCCCAAGAACCGCGAAGGGTAGGCGTGGAATTGAGAGTTTTTATTGGAATTCAATAGAAAAGCTTTGCCCTTGCAGAAAAACTCATGCTCATAACAAGAGGGATTAGATGAATGTCTAGACCCCAAGAACAATGTGTTTCTCGGGTCCAGGAATCTTGAAGAAAGCTTGGCCGTGGAATTGCGGATGAAATTCATGGCCTTTGTATTCAGTTCCACTTTATTTTATTTAGATTCAATTGTAATCGAAATGAAATTGAAATTGAAATTGAATTGAAAAGATTGAAAAAAAAAGAAAGAAGCTTTGAATTGAAAAGATGAAGAGTTACCCAGAATCCGATAGAAGAAATTTGCGCTACAACATATCTTTCACCCTTCTCCAACGATTCAGGATTTTCAAATCGTATTCGTCTTTCTTTTATTTATGATTTGAAGATAATTATTAGGGTAAACTTTCACATTAACCACCTAACTATTTGACCCTTTTACTTTTGTCACTGATCTTTTAATTTTGTAAATCAAACCACCTAACTATTTAGATGATGTCAATCAAACCAGAAACCACAATGTTTTAAAACTAGACCAGACCTTAAACCGGGAATGTATTGGTTCACTTGTTCAACCGGGTTAAACCGCAGTTGAACCGGTTTATATAAAATAATATTTTTAAAATTTTTACATAATATTCAAAGTAAAATATATATATATATAACACTCTTTCTAAGTTCACAATATTAAAAGTTATAAAAATATCACAAGTCATAATATATATAAGTTAAATACCATAATATCAAGTGAAACAAAATGATTCAAATTAACTACAACATAATATTTGGGGCTGGAAAAAATCAGAAAATAAATTTGGGGCTGAAAAAAATCATAACAAACGACGTCGTTTGGTTTATTTAAAAAAAAAACAGAACCATGTGAACCGGTTGAACCGCCAGTTCATACCGGTTTTGTCGGTTCTACCGGTTCTTTAGCAGTTCATTATAAAACTGGTTTTGGAGGCTGACCGGACCGGACATGCAACTGGCTCTCGGTTCAACCGGTCGAACTGGCCGATCCGGTCATGTTTTGATAACATTGAAAAACCGTCAATAGTTGACGGAAATGCTGACGTGACAGTTAACGAAATTTGTGTAATTATAAATTTGATCCTCAATACTTATACATTCTATCAATTTGGTCCTAAATTTAATATACTAATTAGATGGTGACACATGTCACCATTAGATTAAATATTTTTTCTATAATTTATATTCATTTAATTTATATATTTATCTTTCAATCCGGTTGAATGAAAATCAAATGGAAAATAAAGGTAGAATAAGAAAGGAGTTGGGAGGATTCATACCTAGGACATTGGGAACCCAGTGCATATACCATGCCACAAAACCAAGTTCATGTTTGTCTTACATTTTACACAATAATCTATATATTTTATTTCATTCCATAATAAAGAAAATGAATATGCCTATGGTGCTGGATCGTTTCAGGGAAGGCCAAGGAAGTTTGACAGCGTAGTCGAGTGTGCCATGAAAGGGTTCAGTGGGTAAGGTTGGTTTGGTTTCCTTTTCATGTCCCTCGTTTTGCTTTAATGGTTTGATTTATAGTGCAAGATCGATTGCCTACGAAGGATCGGTTGCAGAGATAGGGTGTTGTGGAATGTTATGGATGTTATTTTTGCTTGAATGGTGTGGATGCTAGAGATTATATCTTTTTTGCTTGTGAGTATAACATGAGGATTTGGGAGGAATTTTGAAGTTTTGTGGTCTGAATAGAGCTGTCTGGAATGTAACACCATAACTCGTATACGTCTCAAAGTACGAGTTATAGAAGTTACATTAACCTTTCAGACATTTCTTGATCATAAATACTTAAATTTTAGTTCCTTTTTAAACATTTTCTATTTCAACGTAAAAAAAATTCCCCTTATTCGTATAAAATCATAAAATAATATTTGATCATTGAAAACGAAATAGATTTTAGGTAGTAATTAGGCAGTATAATGTTGTTTCATAAATATATAAAGCTGCCTAAATACTACTTAGTTTAAAAACTATTTAAAACATAAAGTTTATACTTTTCATTCATAAATACGATTATAACTAAAATTAGCCAAAATTAAACATAATCCTAATTTACTATTACAGTCCCTTTCAAAATAAATTCAATAAAGCATACCATACAGTGTAATGTACATGCCACTAATAAGTTAAAGATAGGATGTCTTATTGATTTTATAGGTAGGTTTGACTTCCAAAACATCCTCGGAAAACTCAATGCTTTACGTCATTTTCTATATTTGAACCTACGTATGAAAATCATCACACGCTAAGTAAAACTTAGTGAGACAATAATATAGTTAAAGTGATATAAAACATAAATTCCATAAAGTATACAACATAAAATTGTAATTTAAATAAAACAATAAAACTTTCAAACTGAGCTATTTAAACATTTTTCCTCTTGAAAACCTGAAAATCATCATCTCCTTATTTTATCAAAACTCATGTAAATCAACATCAAATATCATAAACAACTCATGTTCTTTTCATTCAAACATATTTCAGAACTTTCATTTCAATTTCATATTTCTTTATTTCATATTCTTGTCATAAATTTCACATTTACTTTTATAGCCCAATGTATATGTAAGAGAATCCAAGGTACGTGAGTCAGACGAGTGTGCGCAATAACACTTTAGTGCTATCATCGTAATCAGAATATGCACTCCAAGTGCATTCATATCATTTGAACCAACGGTGCTACACATAATGTACACAAATGTGCCATATCATAATCATAATCATAATCATAATCATAATCAATCCATCTCATGGCACCAACTGTACATATGACTCTCAATGCAACATACAATGGGCTTTCAAATTATATCTTATTATTTTCATAATCAATATTTCAATTCAGAATCATTTTCCAATCATTCTCATGAAATTATAAATTGGGTAGTTCATACTCTAAACCATTCATAAAACTTTATATAAACATTATGAAAATAATATGTTTTTAAAATAGAAAACATACTTTAAATAATACGAGGTTGACTTATCACAAGTCGTCCTCAATCAAAATAGCTAAATAAATAAATAAATTGAATTCACTTTGACAATCTATTAATAAATCAAGGTATAAGCCTCACTAAGCTTTAGAATTAATTCTTTGTTTTTAAATGCTTCAACTACACAATTTATCAAAATTTCATATACTGGCAGTTTGCACTACCTTCAAAGAAATATTATTATATATGAATATACATACTTAAAAATTATTCCGGTTATACCACCAAAAACTAGAATCGAATACGAATCTAACCATATACGACACTCCATCTATTTCCACTTGTACAATCTATAGTGAATTTTAGAAGTTGACTAACAGAAGTTGTTTTGAACATATTATGTTGTTCTGTTTATTGACTTATCCTCGATTAAAAATTAATATCTCTTTGTACATTACCTGGAATTAGTATATTTTTGTTTTAAACTAAACTAGACTGATATACGAATTCAACGGTATAAAGATCATTGATAACTCCGTAAAAAGGTCACATTTTAGGACCTTTTCACTTAAGTTATAGAATGTCTAAGAGATCATTTAGGACCACATAGATGCATTTACGAGCATATAGTTGCATGTGGTGGAATTAGGTTTGCCGCGACATTTTAATTTGTCATCAGTGCTGTCTTATGGGGAAGGTGTTTGCTTAATGATGTGCAGGATTTGAGAGCAAGGAAAAGAAAAAGGAAAATGTCGTGGCATAAGGAGATTGCTGAGCAGAATGAAAATGCCAAGTTGGATTAGCATTTAGAGAGCGAACAAAATGAAAGAATAAATTTTTGGAGCCAACTATCCCTATTTTCACGGGATATCTTACTATGACCAAGAAATTTGCTTGAATCAATGCTGTCTGTCGGGTGCTCAGTCAACCATCCAGGCTGGACCATTGCCAGCTGCCCAGTAGCACCACTGCCAGTTCTGCCCGATCTTCACGTGAATTAAGCATGATTTGGGGTATCTTTGGAATTTTGACATAAATCTTTAGGGTTTTTCTCCCCCTATAAATAGAGGATGAAGCCACAATGTTATGCACTTTGGTTCCACGCCATTTTGAGCTTAAAAGTTAGAGAGGGAAGGTCTTACTTTTCTCCATCAATCCTACTTGCCATGGCATTTCTCTGTGATAAGCTTGAAGGAGTGGCATTCTAAGTCATCCGAGAGGAGCTAGTTCGTTGGGGGCAGTTCGTGGTGACCGAGGGAAGCTCAGGTAGTGAGCGTCGAAGGCTTTTCCTCATTCCCTTAGTTCTTTGCTTTCATATTTTGTTATTGGATTGTAAGGAACGAATGAAACTTGAATTGCTCTTGTTTATTTCGAACCCCACCATGAATTAATCCTATTTGGTGGGAGTTCGCTTGGATGTTTAAGTTTTTATTTCAATGAATGGTTCATTTTCTATGCTTTAATATGTTTTGTTTATGATACTTAATGCCTTAAGGTTGTAGGAGCTACGAGAGTAGCCTTTCCTTAGGAGGTTCTTAGGGTTCGAGAGAATACCTTGGCAAAATATCCTTAGTATTCGAGAGAAACTAGGGAGGAACTACATAAACAAAGGGTTCTAGGTAGTAACTAGGCCTAATCCACCTTAGAGATAAGACTAGGATTTCATTCGATTAAAAGGAGTTGTGCAAGAACGATAGGTTAGATGTTAATGCTACCGCAAAAAGGTATTTCCAAGACATATCTTATTATCTAGACCAATAGGATCACTGTAGGGGTTTACGCCAATCAGTTTTGCCAAGGCATCTTGAATCTGTCGAGTCCCTTACTAGAGATAGCATAGGATGCCTTAGTATTCTCTGCCGGGTAGAAGAGACATAGAGATAAAATCATTCGAAGAAGTAGACTTATATTTTTCTTAGTGACTCCCATCACTCATTCCCAAAGCAGCTTGTCGTGTAAGAAAACTAAAGTCCTACATTTTAAATCTCGTATTTACATTTTATTTTGCCTTGACATTTTAATTTGTTTACACACATCACAATATAATTTGTCACGATATATCCATTTGCTACCACACTACCACCATTCTATTTCCACATCAGACATTCTATTTTGCCATAGCATTCTCATTTGTAGATACCATCACTAACTTTACTTAGGTGACAAAGTAAAGTGCCTTGACAAACTTATTTGATTTCCTCAATTCCCTGTGGAGACGATACTCAACTTATCACTGTATTACTTGTTCGATTGTGTATACTTGCATATATTTCCGCACCCATATATAGTACTCACAAACAGCGGACAAGTTTTTGGTGCCGTTACCGGGGAATTGGCAATTGGAAGTTAATTTTTTTTGTCAAAGTATTTTTATTTTACTTGTG